TATCAAAACTTAGTCCCGCTCATTATAACGGTCTATTTTTAATTGTATGTAATCCAATTTTTCACTAGATCCTTTGAACTCATATTCCCATCAAGATGTAACATAAAAATATAGTTTTCATTTTGTTTTGAATTACGATAGAATTAGACAAATTACCAAATTAATGAAGTGACTTCATTATGAGTTTCGCAATTGACATCATCGATTTGAAAGTCATATCATAACTATAAACAATTGGCATTCCGGATTTCTTCGAAAACTTGTATATGTTTACTTAATTTCGTAAGATTGTCATTCAATAAATGAGCAAACGTTTTGCTATAAAATGTTATGATCGTTGCTGGAGCGAACGGTGTTTTTAACAGCCGCTGTCCAATTTTGCTTTTCATTGGGAATCCACTATTAACCAGGTGATTAAATGAGAGGCAGTGGAATACCAATCTCATCAATGTTTTTTAAATTTGTGAAGTGACAAATAGTGTACGTGACGTGCATTTTCATGTGCTACTAGGAACCGGATATAATGTATGTTATTTCACCACCCATCTTAACTTCTCAAGAGTTTGAAAAATTATCTAAATTTATATGTGACGTAAAAAATTTCTGCTTGGCATCACAGTCAAGTCGGAAAAAGAATAAAATTGATTAACATTTGATGATTTTTTGTTATAGATTTTTTGTTTTGTTTTTATATGGACGATTTAAACACCAATTGAATTGACTGCTTTATTTGCTATTACAAAAATGTATATATATTACCACATTTTTTACAACAATTATCTCAATGTCAGGTCCGTGATCGTAAGGGGGGGGGGGGATTCTTAAACATCCGTCTTTTTATGGCAATCTTGGTCACAAAGCTATAGAGGCATCTTTTGTGTTTCTGTTAAAAGCTATTTCATATGATATTTCTAATTTTTACCTTTAACTAACACAGAATTGTCTATGAACTTCTATGCTCTTTTTGATCTACGCAAATTGCGCATGCGCATGAATATACTACTTCCGGTCATTTTTTTTTCAAATTCACGGATCGCGTGGTAAAAAGGTCTATTACATATTCTCTTTGAGAAATCTACATTTTATTATATTGTCTGATAAAATATAGCTATCCATTAGCTTAAATCACAAATAGACCTAAATAACTGTATCAGCAATTGATATAAATATAACAAAAAAAGATGTTAAATTTTGCAAAATTATTAAGTCTAAAATGATTATTTCAGGCCACGCAAAAATATATCATTTTACAATAATTATTTGGTCCAAGGAGTAAAGTTGACAAAAATGAAATTAAGGGGAGAAAAGCTGGTTTTGTTATTTTTTATTTACGTTATTTTATTTATCATGAGACTTATTCTTATTTTTAACTTCTTCCATGGACATTAAAATTGGAAACGAGTGACTAATGTTGCTATTTTCATATAAGTCGATTTCTATGGCTGGTCGGAATTCTTGAGTGAATTCAAAGAAAGTCTTCCAGTAAACTTATGTAGTGATGTTGTTCTTACTTAAGTACACAATAATTTGTACACGGAGACAAAACTGCAAAGTCGGCGTATGTCAAGTACATTATTAATGAAATAAAAAATGTAACATACATTTAATTTAATAAGTGAACGAAAATATTAAATCTATATATATTCAATGACCCTATATTTATGCTTTAAGAATTTGCTTAAAAGGGTGTACCTTACCGTCACTTATAATGATCAAAACTTCCTGGGATTTCCTGCCTCCAACACGTTTAAACTTTGCAGTTTTTGTTCCAATTTGGAGAAAAACATCTTCCAATGCAGCTGTAATTGCAGTCCCGCTATCTGTATATAATCATATATTTTACATTTCAGTACGTAATGATTACCCTTTATAATGTTTTAATCACATTCGTTATTAATTCTTCTTACTATCCAATATTAAATTTACTAATTTTGTTCAATCCGAACAGTTTTTAGATTGATCTTTAGATGTCCCCCCTCTGGCAGGTGGGCGTTCGTGAGGCGTCCAATAATTTGTCCGGAGTATACTTCCTACACGCATTGAAGAATTTTGATGAAACTTCATAGAAATGTTCATCACTATGAGGAATGCCGCGCACATTAACCAGGTCTGTAGGTCAAAGATCAAGGTTACACTTAGAGGTCATTAAAACGCTTGCCCGGAGCAAAGCTTCTACATGCATAGAGGGATTTCAATATAACTTTGAACAAATATTCAACATTGTGAGTTGAAATGTCGCTTGTAAAAGTTAGGTCCCAATTGAGGCCAAGGTCAAAGTAACACATAGGGATCAGATGTAAATAGGGAAATGAGGGGTTGAAACACAAATGGTCATTATCATAACTACTTGTGTAAAACATGTGATTAAGGTTAAAGCTGCATGCCTCCATATCAACCAAAATATTTCAAGATAATCAAATGTATGAAAAAAGTACTTTTGTTTATAAGAACAGTAAACAGATTCAAGATAAAAGTAATAATTTCTATGAAATTGGTAATTTATGACCGATTTTGCAGTATTTTTCATCATATTTCTACTGCGTTACTAACGCAATAAAAACCATTTTGGCATATTTTGACATCTTTTTGGTACTTAACATGGGCTGTATGTGCTGTTTGCAATGTGAAAATAAGTTTCTTAATTCACTTCACGATACTTTACTCTTTAATACGTTTTCAAAATTTTCATGAAAATTAGCATGAATCTGTAGGCGTGCTGCTTAAAAAATGTGTAATGTCAATGTCACTAAATATGAAAATCAAGGTCATTAATAACTAGGACTTCAGGTCAAAGGTCAGGGTCACACTTAGAGGTCATTGAAAATGCTTGTTCGGGGCAAAAGTTTTACATGCATAGAGTGATTTCAATGTAACTTAGCACAAATGTTTAAAATTGTGAGGCATATTGCGCACATAATCCAGGTCCCAGCTACCAACGCCAAGGTCACATAGAGACGTCAACGTGTGAGTACCGGGACCATTTAGTCATCATTTATTGATGGATTGTAATACAGATGATAACTATCATGACTACAAGTGTGACACATGTAATTTAGGTTCCAGGTCACTAGAGATGAGAAAAAATCCAGATATTTTCCAGATATTACCGAAACCATATCTCCTAAATGCATATCTATAATGCCCAGATCTGTGCCAAAAGGTTTTTTGATGGGCGTATTTTAAGACAATATTGCCCTTGTTGGTAAATAATGTCTTTTTGTGTCACCTATCTTAGTTTTAAACGTTGTTGGCTATATCATTTGGATCTATGACATAAATCTTAAAAGAGTTATTTAAATGATAAAAAATCATAATGTGTTGACAACAAAACCTTCGATAGTCAACGGGTCTTGTTTGCAAAATTGTAACCAATACATATATTCATATGGTAGTTGTTCATTGATCCTTCAGTTTTACATTATGGTGCCATTTAATGATGCGTCGAGTCTTCCAAAAGTAAATCATGCTTTTAACTGAAACACGTTTAGCTACGCAATTTCATTTTGCTTTCGAACTCGAAATTTAAATTAATGTTTTATGTGTAAGAAGTACATAGAGTCTCCCAGACCAATCATGGAACTTTTGAAAGGTCGCTTTAACATTGTTAGTGTCACTTGTTACAAACAATATTTTATTGCTTCACTTTGTAAACATTAGTACTTGATTTCAATACATAAAAATTACAATTCGGATAGAGTAGAAATCTTAAACTTTATGTTAATGATATTTGATAATGGTTTTTTATGTCGTACACTGAAGTTTATGCATTTTCATATTTTATAAATGTAGACTACAGAATGTTTTCTTAATTTCATTCAGTAATTGTTATGCAAAAACATGAATATAAAAATCAACATAATCAGCGAAATATATTATATGATACAATACGTTGATATTATGCTTCTACATGATTTTTCAATGTAAATGAAAATTACTTACCTGTTTCATCTCTTATTTTTATCAGTTCCTTTTCATTCATATATTTTTCTATTTCTTCTTTCGCCATTTCATATGACTCAAACGGCTGCCCCCCCATCTCCTCTGAATGTTTGTCAAATATCCTTAACGGTTTAGAGCCAAAGAATGTAAGTGCTAGCCTTGTACCAGTTTCACCATCATTAATACCAAGCTACAAAGAAGGGTATTAATGTGATTGATAGTAAATTGACAAAAGAAATAGCATTTATTTTTCTGTTCTTGACATTGTTACACTGTTTTAGCCGTGTAATGACTATACCTTATGTAAACCATCCCAAACGTTTTTCAGTTACTGGCATAATCACTTCTATTTAAAAGTGATCCCATGCATTTACCAAGCCCCGTTATGATCACCACTATTTGTTTATTATCACGCGAATTTACAAGTTCCTGTTATGATCATTACGATATGTTTATTATCCCACGAATTAACAAGCCCTCGTTATGATCAATACTACGTGTTAATTATCCCACGAATTTAACAACCACCGTAATAATCAACACCACGTATTTATTACCCTGTGCATTTATCAGCCCCTGTAATGATCACCACTACGTTTTATTTAGCAATCCCTGTAATGATAACCACTAAATGTTCATAATCCCGAGCATTTATCAGCCCCCGTAATGATCACCACTACATTTTAATTATCCCGAGATAAATCAGCCCCCGTTATGATTACCAGTACGTTATGTTCAAACTGCGCATTTGCCAGCCCCCTTTATGATTAACACTACGTGTTAATTTCCCAGCGCATTTACCAGCCCCCTTAATGATTACCACTTCCCGTTAAAAAAAAATGCACAATTTTCAGCTCCATAAATGATCACCACTATCTATCAACAATTCCTGCATACATAATGAACACCACTATGAGTTAAAAATTCAGCACATTTACCACCCAGATTGTGACACCATTACGTGTTAACAATCCCATGCATTTACAAGCCATCATAATGATCATCACTACCTGCAAACCATCTTGCACATTTACCACCACTACGTTCTAACAAGCTTTAATCTAATAAATTCCCGTGTTTCACATTACAGTCAACTTGGGTGAAGTAATATAGTAGACATTTGTTTACAGGACGCTTTCACAGACTCAAGTACATCATATCTTTCTATATGACACAACAATTCAATCAGTATAGTACATAAATATAATACAAACAGAACGAATATTGTTCTTGTAATGTGTAATAAAGTGTAAAAAACAGTTGGCTTATTTTTTTAAGGGTTCTTATTGTGTGTTTTTTTATACTTTCAGTGTTTTGTTTTCTTTATAAAGTTACTTTTTAAATTGAATAAGTTATATTGATACCTCTGGGAGTAATGCAGATACAAATCTTATAGTTGTGTTGAATTTCTTTGGTGTAATACTCTTAGATATATCAACAAGCAGGTACACGTCTACACCACCACTGTTCCCGACATTTATTGTCTTTGACATTATTGTATCTGTTTTAGTAGAGTTTTCCGTTTTATTCTCTGAAATCTTTTTCATAGCTGATATCAACTCAATTCCTACACTAGAATCAAACAAAGACTCCCCTGTAAATTATAAAAATACATTTGTGCATATCTACATTTATTGCAAATTTCATTTATTATAGTCAATTGTACAACATCGGCAGACAGCCGATCAGTAGATTATTGTCTCAAAAAGAACATTGTTTTTGTGTATGCAATTCAATAAACCAATTGGCAATGCTATCTGATGCAGTATTTTCCCCGTTCATGTTCACGCTCCGGAAATTATTTCATGCATGTTGGTTGTTATTTGAAATGAGGGAGAAGGAATGGCAAATGGAGTTCAATGCTGCCAAATGTGAGGTCATCCGAATTACCACCAAGAGGAACCCCATTATCTTCCCATATGAAATACATCAGACAACCCTCAACGTAATCAACCAGGACTAGTATTTTGGAGGTACCATCACACCAGACCTATCTTGGAAATGCCACATCGACAACATAACGATAAAAAGCCAATTCAATACTAGCTTTCCTGCGCCGAAACTTCCGGTCAAGCCAACCAGATGCCAAAGTCAAAGCCTAAAACACCTACATACGGCCAAGCGTCGATATGCCTCCTCTGTATGGTCACCTGCTGCTGACAGCCACATCAACTACCTAGAGATGGTCCAAAGAACAGCAGCATGGTTTGTCAAGAACGACTATTCACGCCAGAGCAGTATCACAGAGATGGTAAACTCACTACACTGGACCACTGGACAGAAGAGACGGGACATGGCAAGAGTCACCATGCTCTACAAGATCAAGCATGACCTAGTAGATGTCACACATGATCCCCCGCTACGTGTTGCAAGAACATCAGGAGGCAACCCACAACAACTCAACCAGCTCACTTTTAAGAAATCTGTGTACCAGAACAGCTTCCGGCCACGATCATCCTCTGGAATCGCCTACCCATTCAAGTTGTTGAGAAACCAACCTTGGAGGGGTTCAAGTCGGCGCTGATGAAACACACAACCACCAACCAGACACATTGCCAGTTTTAACCATTTTTTAAAAAGATGTAAATAGACAATTTTTAAATGTAAAGAGGAAACCAATTGCTGCGCATGTACATAGTTTTAGTTTCATCGCGATTATGCTTTATGAAGAGTGATGCGGTTACTGAAGATCATGATGATTATGATGAAGAGAGTCCTATCACCCTGTTCAAACAATAAGAGTAGACTCATATTCAAAACATCTTGATATTTTGTGTTTCGTTACATCTGGAATAAAAACATTCAACATGTTGAACAATCGAGCGAACATATGCTGTACAAGAATATACTTCATGTATTAACAATTAAAAAGAAAATATTTCGCAAAATTGCAGGCAGGTTATAAGATAGCTTACCTGTGCAATCTATAGGAGTACCGCTCCAGTTTCTATTCTTCATGCATGTTCGATTAGTGGACCCTCCGTAGTATTTGCCGGATTTACATGTAAAGTCTAACACATCACCAATCTGATAACTCTCAGAGGAAGTTGTTATCATAGCACCAGGCGGCAAACATGGCGGAGAACAGTATGCATCTTGGGGAAATTACAATAAAATCCACTTTAAATATGATAAAAATATATGAAATGGACTTGTCAATAATTCAATGTGTGCAAAACTTTTCATCATTTTGGGAAGACTTTAAAATTCATTACTGACTGGATAGCAAACAGTGAAGACCATGACATGACAACATGACAATCTGTTGATCATGGTCTGCATCGGTCGCAAAGGTAGAAATCGTTGCTGCCAACAGGCGATTTGTTTAAAGTACTAATTTCGAAACAAGAACGTTCTTGCTGCATGCAAATTTCAAATCATATGATTTGTTAACGTAGTGTGTGAATGAAGTACAAAACAGTCTAATTTGCCAATATGCATGACTTAGAAAATGACAAAATGAATAGACAAATGACGACTTTCACTTCAAGTTTTACTTATTTTTTCTGGACCTTTAGGATTATTGATTCCAACACTTTTAGGTTTACAAAATTGAGTACGGCTCATATCGGTGCTACGGGCTTGAGGGATTTTTGACTTTTAAGTAATCCCTAATGTACAGACTCAATCAAACGTAGTCTGCACTATTCATGTTATTTTGTTTTGTTTTATGTTTTTGGAGTATAACCAATCTTCTGGATCTTTATCATTGACAACAGAATATGTCAGGTGCAATTTTGTAGCTGCAAAATGCTGCTCTTTACTTCACTGCCGTGTTGTTATATTTTTTCCTGTCCTTCGGGGTCTTTATTTCAACACCTTTAAGTGTTAAAATTGAGAACTGCTCAATCGTGTGCTATGGGACGTGAAAGAGTGTTGCACCTTTCCGTTATGCCTCATGTACAGACTCAAATAAACCAAGTATGCAATTATTTTTTTATTTTGATGTGATAAATGCTCCCGAGGGGCCACATTTCTTCCAGCGTTTTATTAAGCAGTATTTGAAATGCAGTCAATTAACATCATATAAACATTTAGTACGTAAATAATGGTATATTGCTAGAGGATGTTTATCAAATTAAGAGATAAGTCATACATATCAAATTAAATTCCTTTTTTCTGCCGCATATAATTTTACGGTGGCACAAAGGTGACATATGTGTGTTTTTATTTATCTCAATGCAACGAGATACTATGTCGATGCCACGAGTTACTAAGTCGTGGCCATGAGATAGCTAAGTCGTGGCCAAGAAATACTATGTCGTGGCCACGAGTTATTACGTCATGGCCACGAGATAGCTTTGTCGTGGCCACGAGATACTATGCTCTGGCCACGAGATACTATGTCGTGGCCACGAGTTACTAAGTCGTTACCATGAGATAAATAACCAATCAGATTACACCATTTATGTGAATTTCCCTAATTAACTAGACATGTGCTATAGTACAAGGATGCCCCTTTCTTCACCAGCCTGTAAAATTGCCATTTAAACAACTTCTTGACTTATCAATAATTTTACAATTAGTGACCCTGATTTTGACACAATGACCTCGAAATTATTAGATGTCGTTGCTGATCAGGTGTAATGATCTTTCTGGGTTACAAAATCCTTTCTAAATTATTCATCAGACAAGGATTTCACGTTATAGGATATTTACTGTCCATGGGCAATGTCCCTTACAAATAAAAAAAAAAAACAGGACTTATTCCTTCTCATGTAATCGTATTTTTTTTTCTGTTTGTTTTGGGTTTTACGTCACATCGACACAGTATAGGTCATATCGCGACGTTCCAGCTTTACTGGTGGAGGAAGACCTCAGGTGCCTTTCGTGCATTATTTCAGGCACGAACGGGTACCTGAGTAGAACCACCGACGTTCCGTAAGCTAGCTGGCTAGCTTGTAATCACATAAACAAGGTAAACAGGTCATAGTACATACAAACTGACCAATTCGATCACAAACTTGCCCAACAAAGAGCTATAGTCAAAATTAATGTATGATGGGCATTGGAAGGTGACTTTCTAATATGATCTTAGAGACAAATTCATATCTTCAGTATTTTCAAAATTAAAATTGTATGTAAAAGTAAGTTATTAACTTTAAAAAATTCATAACATATATAGTGAATTCTGATTGGTTAATCATCTCGTGGCCACGACTTAGTAACTCGTGGCAAAGACAAAGTATCTCATGGTCACGGCTTAATAACTCCTATGTCACTCTGTTTAAGCGCGTGTCTGTATGTTTTATCACACGAAAACAGACGTCGAAAAATGACACATGTTAATTTGCAAACATTGGTTTTATCATATCTTAATATTGTAAAGAATGACAATATACGTAAACAACTACCATGTTTTAGATTATGCTCTCATTCTTTAGAAATAGAAATAGTAAGGTACTTGAAAACTGTAAATTATGCCGTATAATTTTTTTATTTTGTTGTCTCTTATATTCAGAACTAAGACAATTTTCCATAAGACATGTATCTTTTCCAACTCCAAATAAGTTCTATTACATTATGTCATCAGGCAATGAAAGTAATATAATATAATCATGTACATTTTTAAAGCATTTGCATTAAGATATATAGTGTCTTACAAACAATGCAAGAACTTAAGAATTGAAATGTATGCATGTCATATGAACATTGTATATCTGTTTTGAGTGTTTGTCAAATGCCACTTAATAATTTGTTTTGTATGTTTGGTATTGCCAAGGCAATGGTTTGCCAAAAAAGTGCAACAAAAATTTGAATTGAATTGGTTTAAATATATTTGTTTGAATGCTAATTACGCATTGCCTACAAATTGTCTGTTAAGATATATTACACATATCTGAACAATCCGACGAGTTGAGATAATCTTTAGTTACCTTCACTGGTACATTTTATACAATCATGGTCCCATTTGCCGTTCAATTGGCATCTCCACTCCGGATATCCTATCAGGTCGTAACCAGATTCGCATTCGTAAATAACCGTTCCATCAACATAATTGTGATCCATTCTTAAAAAGCCGTTACTCGGGCTCTCCGGTTCAATACATTGGATTCCTGAAATAATGAGGCATCCATCCATGTTCACTGAATTTTCCGATTGATTGTAATTGATTTTTTAATAGTAGTCAGTTTACTTTCAAATTAATAAATAAGGTAAAAGAAATGCAAAATTATCTTAATAGAACTCACGTTCGCAGCCCAAATCGAGCATTGAAAATTCGCTGAAACTTGATGGTGTCATGCAAAGAACAGATTTAACGCCGCCTTTGTGCCGATATCCGTCTTCGCATTCCAATTTCATCTCTTCGAGATATTCGTAAGTTTCTTTAAAGTTTGTAATATTACCATTACTTATATCAGCATACGAGGAAGCATCGCATTTTATTTCTGAAACATAGAAAATACTAATTTGTCTCCAATGAATTAACAACAACCTTTATCTTTACCAATGGTGTCTGATACATGTCATTCGGTTGGACAGGTTGGACAGGTCAAAACATAAAAAGTGCGAAAATAGGACTTAACTCATTCATTAATTGAAGCCATGTCGTTATTTTGAAACTTAATCTGCTATTTACACATAAATACAAAAGTATATCGCATATTTACGTCATTGTTTGGATATATCTAACAAAATTATTTCTTTACCATATAAGAGAAGAGGGCAAACATGACCTTAATTCAATTAGTTTAGGTCTACTGCTGGTAGATGTAATAATTCTCTCATGCGGAAATAGTTCATTCAGTTTAGTTTGCTCTACGATGAACGTCGGACGACGGAAAAGTTAACATCACATTAACAAATAAACAGAACAACAACAGCAATAAAAAATAAAACTGCTTTGTTAAGAAGATAATAAATAGGGTCAAAATTCACCTTGACATTCACCGAAGAACAATTCAGAATCAAAAAAGCCATTCCAGAGGCCACCTGCGTTGCATGTGATATCCTTTAAAACTGTGGCGGGTGCTGTAGTTGATGATTCGTCATAATAGTCATAAACAGTATAGAATGATGTATCAGATGATAATATAAAACTGTAAACAAAAGATGTTTTATACATATTTATATACTTTTTCCCTTTGACTGATCATGTAAATCCGCAAAAACAAAATTGCTTTAAACTAAATTCATGTTCTTTGGCAAAATTAAACAATTGAATTGAATTGCTTTAATCCTTTAACGGTAAAACAATTTTGAAACAAATGAGTTAACAAATAAATATCGTAAGCAGACATGTAAACAGTATCTTAACGGCAGTTTCTGAAGTTAACAAAGAGATAGAACAAAACTAGTCCTCAATAATTGTGCTTGTCGCTCAGTTTTTTAGATAACATAAATAAAAATCTAAATCATAACTTTTATATTGCGTAAATTCATCCTCTAGAGTAAAATTTCCCATTTTCTATTCCCCATGTAGTATCACTATTGAGCGCACAACTCTAACCAATCCGTATCTAGTATTGTATTAGTGAACTCCCTTAGATAGCTCACCAGTATATTCTATTTCAAGTAAATATTAAGCGTTTTCTGATAATAATCATAGCAAAGAAAATTAATTGTTAGATAAGACAACGATTTAAAGTGAGCGTCGCCATGGTGATATATTACAAACAAAAATACATTGAAACAGTATATACCCCGGTTTACAACTGTACTTTACTGTATCACCAGTGTAGAAATCTTTTATGGCTTTCTTGACACCATTGATCGTGACAGGCATTAGGTAGCTAGTCGTTATTTCTCTAGTCATGTTGTTCTTTGGCAATGGTGGAGCTGAACATTTTTTCTTTGCTGGTAATTCTATAAAGCCAGTCAAGCTTCAAAACTTTGAATAACATAGATACGCTAATGTTTCACTTTAAATCTCTAAAATATGTTCGAGTTCTAGATCTAATACATTTATTAGATTATGGTTCATTCATAAACATATAGGACTTGTCATTTAAACATCTGATAGAGAGAAAATATATCAATAGAATAGTTAAACTAAAGAAGAGTTTACAAATTCTAAACCAGTATGCATACACATAGATAATTACGTAATGCTGTTAACCCATTACTTCATATACACGCCTTTTAACGCCTTTTTCACCCCCCCCCCTTTTTGTTGTCTCAAATGATGAAAAAATGCCTTATTTAGGCCCCAAACACTTGTTTTTGTTTGAGAAATGTTGTTAAAAAAAGTGACCTCTTTTTCGGCGCGGCCCCCCAACCAAAAGATACATCAGGGGGTTGCCAGAAGGGGGATGTGCCCCCTTCTGTTTGGGGGGGGTTTGAAGGGGGGCGGAGTCCCCCTCATCGCCAAGAAAATTTTGGACTTGTGAGAGGCTGTAAATGACCCCAGATTGATCATAAGGTAACGTGTTACCAACGCTGAAAAGCATTTGACTCTATCTCAATCCATTGAGAAGTTGCAGCACTTTGAAATCAATTTTGATGGAAAAAATCAACGCAAAATAGTGATTTTTGGCAATTTTGAGATGTCCCCTCGTTGCCATGGTAACAGAAAATTTTAGTCTGAGCATGTTGTTGCAAGGGCAATGGTCCAGTCATCATTTGTGCCAAGTTTGATTAGTGTTGAAGCAGTTTTTATAGTATTATAGCAATTTGAACTTGTAACGGAAGACTTTTCAATGAAAACAGCCATTTTTCACAAAATGCTCATGAAGCAATGGGTTAAGAGATGTAGAACAAGCACGACTCTATTTTGAAAATGATTTAAAATATTGATTTTTATTGCTACAATTAGAAATAAATACATACGTTCGCATGTCACATTTTGTAGATATAAAGAACCGCCTTCAGTAAACCAAGCTGACGTGGATTTCCATTCATGTGATGCTGACCTCCGAAAGTACATACACTTAAACACAATATCCCCTAAGTCTGGAATATTACTGATATAATCTGTCCGACACTGATATTTGCGATACATGTAAGCGCCACTTTGCCAGTCGTCTGTGATCTTGCTATTAACAAAACTGTTACCGGTACTATTGCATTTCTTTTCTGGAAGAAATACAATACTTATAGTAAACAAATACATGTAGTCGTTAAATTGAATTTGTTAAAGATGTAAGGAGTATCTTCTGCAACAAAGAAAACGCAAGTGTTAATACAAAGATAAAACAAGTGCATCACATATAGTATAGCAAAAAAGTAAAAATAACAGTCAAAGTAAACACAAATAAATAGAAAAATAAAAAAATAAAATATAAATACCATTTTATACACGAAATAAGTGAAAATATCGCTAAAAGTAAACAAAACGGTAAAAAAAATCGAAAATATTATATAAAAGAAAGTATATAAAATATTGGCAATAAGTTGATTTCTATCAGCAGAATCAAATAGAAAAAAACAAGCGAACATATAAAGTAAAGCATATTGAATATTATTTACGATTTTTTCAGTCTTTCCGTCTGTACGAGTTGCTGTAGTCTTACGCTGATATATTAGCTTATTTGGATAGAATAATTGGAGAATAGGGAATGAAGTTAATGCTGTTAAATTGTTAACTTCATGTGTATTATAAACACTCGCCATACATATATTTACCAGATTGTTTTGTATAAATGTAGTCATTGCATGTTAATAAGAGAATATACAATTGAGTAATTCTAGAAAATAAAAGTAATGTACTGTTCTGTTCTGTTGGTATGTGGAGTTTAAATTTGGCTTACACACAATGTTGTTGCTGGGTTGTGAAACATTACCCGGTTGACTAAAATTTTACAGTGATATATAATCCAAATGTTCTTTTTCATCATAACTGTTTGCATTAAATTAAAGATAAATCGTTGAAAACGTACTTTATTGATTATAAACTGAACATTATCTTTTTATCACGGTTTACAATATTCCATATGTGATTCCATCATTGCTAACATTTCTATATGTGTCGAAATAGCATGTGCAAGTTATTTAGTGTTTAGCCGTTTCAAACTTTTACCTAAATAAAAAAGCTTTGTAACCTCGCTTTACTATAAACAGGCGGCAATTTAAGTGTTTGAAGCAAGAACTATATCCATACAGGACTATCAAAATTATCTAAATACAAAAATACAAAACTTTAAAAGATATATATACATTTATTTTTTTTCAAAAACAAACTTCTTAGAGTAAACAAATGGATATATTGTTGTAAAAATCGTTTTGACGATGCAGTGCAACAGCTCTTATACCAATGTGTTTTGTCCAAATGTTGTTGTATGTGAATGTATAATATACTTGTGTTTTGATTGACTACTAACAAAATAAAATAATTCCGCAGTAAATCATGCGTCTTATTCAAAACCATATAAGACTAGGCTGCTTTGTAGCTTGATAAGTTGAGGGGGAAGCGAAATGTGATAAATCATTTTTATTTTGATATGTAAGTATGACCTTAACACTGGGTGAATCAACTTTGATAGTGCGCTCTGCACATTTTTTTTTGTTTTGAACATTTGTACCAGATTGTTTACAAACCTTTCCAAAAGATAATACGTTTTGGAGTTGGCACGAAATTGGTTGCCCACTTTTTTTAACTAGCTCATAATCACTGTCGTTTCTTGAGTTTTATTATGTTTTTGAAAAAAGAAATGTTCTTATTTGTGTTGGACTTTAGAGCGGTGTGTCAAGATGAATGTTCTTAAAAATTACCGTAACACTAGCAACAAAATGATAAAAGTAACATAATAATATTATATACAAAATTACATTTTTAAATTAACCTTGTTATAATATAAACACTATTTCATCTATAAAACCACGTGATCAACCAGAAATTAAGGGTTGCTAACATGCGTATTAAGGAGATAAATATAAAAATGTGATATTTATTGTCCCTCTGGGCCAATGTTCATCTAAAGGGCACAAATATCACCACCGACCTTAAGTACTTTTGATCGTCGTTATCAATCTTAAATGCAATATCGTTCTATACTAAGTGCGTTGTAAACAGTTAAATAGTGCGTATGCATTCATTTAATAGCATATTAAACAGGATTATTTCTTTTATATAGGAACCCCAAATAAGTAAAAATAAAATCATAACGGCTGATATTCAAGCATACATAACTTCATTTATTTCCAATATGATTACAACAACAACAAAAAAAAACAAAAAAAAAACAATAACTAAACAAACAAAAATAAATGAGCCAAGAGCTCTGCTAGTTCTCACCTGTTGTATACGGTACATTTCGGCAATTTACGTACAGAATCATCCATAACAAAAAGAACAGCTTAATCGGTATCATTTTCCAAAACGAATCGTAACAAAAATAAGCGAGTTCAAATTAACGAGGCAGACTTATGAAGAATGTAACATACTTATAACGACAACATCCTGTTTCGTTGAAACAGATACAATCCTATTCAAACACTCCAATCAGAAAAATGTTGCTCTTTTGTTTGTAATCAAGACTTCATTGCGGAAGTGTTTATGTTTTAAGATACATATTACAGCATTAAGTTCAAGTTGATTTACATGCATTTATGATCGCATAACTATCCTTAACCATTTGGCCTTATTAAACGTTTGGTATGTAAATTTTCATTCGACGGTGGTATGGCAGCTGATATCATATTCAATAATCAGTAAATAACCCTTCCTGCAATTTTTTATTAGGTTATACTCAAAATTGTCGTTGCTGCTTATTTTCTTAAGAATATCAGGAATTTTAAATATTCCTATTGCTACAATTGATCGGTAAAAGTATTCTACAAAAAGTGTTTGTAGACATCACATAGTCCTTAATTTTGTGAAACTATGCTTTTAGCTATTATTTGATAGCAAACATAATTCTCCTTAATTAAGGTAACCAATATAAGTGTTATCATTGTGCATATGGAAGCTATATATCACCACACTATCATTGTTTGTTTGTTTCTGTTGTTGTTGTTTTCACTAGTGCTATATGCCTGTTTGTTTGTTTCTGTTGTTGTTGTTTTCACTAGTGCTATATGCCTGTAGAAAGAAAATGATAAAATTATTACAACTTAGTGCGATACGGTTTATATTCACTGAAAGAAGATTAGATTTTATTTACTGTTTGCTTTTCGATAAGATTCTGAAATGTATCAGTTAGATATGCGTCATTTCATACAGTTTGAAACTGAGTGAAACTAAAAAGATTTTGTTTTCTAAACATCTATAATGAACGATAATTTATACATCCCTACTCTGAACTTTCATTTGAATTACAATACAATTAACCACAAACATTGACATGTGCTCTTTTGTTTACAAATAGGTTGTGGTGAAATTCTTTTTGTATCCACTTATCTGAAATGCACAAGTCAGGGATTTATGCATTGTCTATTGAACGATAATTGATATACATGTAATTTTACTGAGAAAAAAAATATCCGCCTCACATTACTTTACCCTAGGTGTTTAGTTTAGTATAGTTTAGTTGTTTTGCTGAATCTTTAAAATGAAGACAAACATTCTAGTAGGCTTACACAGCTAAAATAAAAAAAAAGTTAACATCTCACCCTAGATGTTTGTATATTAATCATAATAAATATAAAGTAGATAGTTTTAAAATTTTGGAATTACATTTTATTTATATTCAATGCGAATTAACACATATGCAAATTTCATCACTTTCATGTTTGATTGTTGAATTCTGCTTAAGCCGATGATATGGGTGTTTGACTGTAACTTGAACTTTCCAGTACCGTCCGTGAACAGGCTCAATCAAACTCAGCATTCAAACTTTTACATTTGTAGTTTTTGATGTTCTTTAAGGATTCCATTTTTCTCCATTTTTAACCAGTATCACTTCATCTTTAACATGTTCAATCAAACCTGTCTACAGAGCAGAGTAAACTGCGCTAAATTTTCCTGCCTAACATTTGAAGACCGGTAGCATTACATGAATGACCGGTAATATAGTTTAAACTACTTAACATGCTATAATTCCGTTGGTCAAGTGTAGCATATGCTATAAATGCCGTGTAGTACTTATGATATATCTAATCGTATGTCCTAGGCCCTTTCCGTCAAATTTCGGGAAAATTAAAAAGAAACCTTGAGCACAATCCGTATAAAGGCCGGGGTTTTTTTACTGATAATAGCCGAGCTGTTTCTATTGGTGATCATTATAATAGTTTTTTTTAGTTTTCAGAAATGCGGTGTAGGTATGAATTATTAGAAATGATTAACGCGTTAAATGTTTAAAGCCTCTGATTGTAGTTAGGTATTTCACTATTTTACATGAAATCACATATACACATATGGAGGGCATATTAACATATGCATATATGTTTTCATGTTGAATTTTTGATTATATTTGATCATTTTATACTTGTTTTGGAAATATTGACACATACGATCATATGCTAACACATGAATGTATACATGTACATGCGATCATATTATATAAAATCATTTATTTCAATCATGAGATATTTTGAAATTGAACCAATATTTTTTTTCGGAATTTGCCGAAGAATTTTCTTTAAACCCGCTCAAAATATTATTATAATGTGAAACGAAATAAAAATTACATGATTATCTCCATTCAATAAACAATAAGTTTGTTAAAATGGAATCATTTTTATATGCGAGATATTAATACACTAACCAAATTTACCTTTAGATATTACAAGTTTACTGCAACCCACTGTCGTCACTGCAGTCAACTGTCAGCACTGCAGACAAATGTCGTCACTGCAGTCAACTGTAAGCACCGCAGCCAACTATCGTGACTACAACCAACCAGCGTGACTGCAGCCAACTTTCGTTACTGCAGGCAACTGTCAGCACTGCAGTCAACTGTCGTCACTGCAGCCAACTGTCGTCACTGCAGTCAATTGTAAGCACTGCAGCCAACTGTTGTCACTGCAGCAAACTTTCTGTACTACAGCCAACTGTAAATATTGCAGGCGACTGTCGGCATTGCATCAAACTTTAAATATTGCAGCCAGCTCTCATTACTGCGGCAAACTGTCGCCGCTGCAACCAACTGCCGGTACTGCAACCAACAATCAGCACTGCAGCCAACTGTCGGCGCTGCATCTAACTGTCTTCGCTGCATCCAACTGTATTCGCAGCCAACTGTTTGAACTGTAGCCAGCTGTCGTCACTGCAACCATCTGTCGGCACTGCAGCCAACTGTCGTCACTTAAGCCAACTGTAGACACAGCCAAATGTCGGCACTGCAGCCAGCTATTGTCACTGCGGCAAACTGTCGGCACTGCAGCCACCTGTCTGTACTGCAGCCAACTGCCCTCACTGCAACCAACTGTCACAACAGCAGCCAACTGTCGGCACTGCAGCCAGCTGTCGTCAGTGCAGCCAACTATCGACTCTGGTTAATAAGATCTGCTATTGTTTAAGTTATTCTTTATAATTTTGTTTCTTCTGTTAACAGTTCTTTATTGTACGGAAGTCCATAAGTGCCATTTTGTCTTAGGAGATTTGTCTTATGACTAATGACTTGTGTATTATGACTTTTGTCTTATGTATTATGACTTGACAAAAAAGCGGCAAAAGGGCAAGTTTCATCACATGCACCCATCATGGACGTTGGAGGTAAATCTGATAGTGAAACAGAAGACAATTTGGTAAGTGTTGAAATTTAAAAAGTATGACAGTACTGTATTTCTCCTAACTTGAATAATTATCTCCCATACAAGGTTAGGTTTCGAATATGGGTCATCTCAGATGAAAAAGTAGGTCACAGGTCACAACAATCGTGTTAACTGTTAAAGTTTAAGTATCAAGATATTTGCAAGACTGACAAATTTTTAAAACATGTGTGAAACTTTTTTCTGTATAAAATATAAATTATCTCTCCTTCAGGTAAATGCGAGTACATTGTTTACGTAATTTCGTATTGGTATGTAATTAAACAAATTATGTTTTGTGTAGAATGTTCAGAGATGTCTTTGAATAATTCTCATATATAGATGGCAGATAGTATGAACTTGCATTTACAAATATGAAAATTTTATAAAAGCATATAACTTTTTACTCATTCTTGAATAATAAATTGAATATATGTAAAATTATGTAAATGTAAGATACTTGCTGAAAAGAATTAGAAAAATTACCGATATTGTTAAAATTATTTATATGGAGCACAAGGATAGGAACATGTAAAGTTTTCTTGAGGGAAATTAATTATCTGTTATCTGTCACCTTAATGAAAAAATGAATTTAAAAGATATATTAAATTGTTAAAACGATTGCTTTACTTGTATTAAATGTCTCTTTAAGTTATATTTTCAGGTTCAAACAATACTGAAACGAAAGGCCGAGATCATGGAAGGCTTTGATTACAATGCTAGGAATGACAGAAAACGACTGTGTAAACGTTCACCTGTAGAAGACATAAAAAATCTCATATAATGTTGTAGTGGTTCCAAAATGTTTACCATTTTAAATAATGTACCTGTTATGTTGTTTAAATGGTGTTTATGTAAAATTAAAATACATCAAATACCTTTAATTAGTTGTTTATACAATTTGTCATTTATCTGCCAGTAAAACAGTTTAAAACAGTGACAACATGTCTGCCTATCATTCCTATGTGTTAACCACTTATATTGAAGGTATATGTGCCTTACTGGTGTGCTATAATCTAGGGTTTCAATAAAGAGACCGACTCGATAATAAGACCACTTTTCACTAGACCCAAAAGTGGTCTTAATAGCGGAACTTTACTGTAGTAAACAATGCGAGTAGTAAACGTATTCAGGCACTAGTTCAGAACATAGCAGCCCACTAAGAAGAAGAAAACCCAGAAAACATTGAAAAAGATTAACTTATGGAGATCCATTGATGGTAAACATATTGGACATTCATCTTCTACCTGTGACTCTCTTTATAAAGGAAAATACAAGAAATCGGTTTATGATTTATCAGACAAGTGCCGAATGAGGATATTTTATCAAATTAGTTCTTGATAGTTCAACAGTATATGTGAATATATGAACTACTGATACGGTGGGGAAAAAACATATTTATTTTTAATTTTAATTTCAAATATATAATTGTCAATTTCATATCACATAAGACATAATACATAAGTCATTATACATAAGACATAATACAAAAGTCATTACACATTAGACATAATACAAAAGTCATTATACATAAGACATGATACAAATGTCATTATACATAAGACATAATACAAAAGTCATTATACATAAGACATAATACAAAAGTCATTATACATAAGACATAATACATAAGACAAAAAAAAAATGAAAATAAAACCTGACAATTTAAACACCAAATTTCTTGATAAATATGTATGCCTTGGTGTATTTTCATTAAATTACACTTAATATCCATTTTTACAGAACAAGCTGGGTCCTGGGAGGCATTTCACATATAAATTACAGGTTGGACGACTTCATGAAATTCGTAGGAAATTTTGACAAGTGACAGCACGGACAGAGAGAAAGAGATGCAAGAATATTT